TTTATTTTCTTAATGCCTTAGGATCCCATCCTCTAATAGGTATTAATATTGAGTTATCTCAATAAGTCATATATGAAGGATTAGGTAGGTAACTCCATACCAATTACAGCTAATGTAATTCTAAATCTCATTGTCATGATAACTCTTTATCATGTCACACTTATGTGAATACCAATCCTTGCCTATAAGTTCATTAGACCTTGATTTATCTCAACCAACCTAACAACTCATTTAAGTTAGACCCAACATTTGGAAACATCGCATGGCCCATGATTTGTTTTCCTTGAGGAAGAAATGGCCTTAAGTTATCTCAAAAGGCCAACAATGACCAAGAGAGGTCTCTCTTCATAATGTTAGAAGGTAATTAACTTAATATTTTATTTAAAATTTGATTGGTCTCATCCTAGCATACATACTAATCAATAATCATATTATTCCTACCATTGATACCAATATTAATCACATAATATACATACATCTCATGTATGACACAAAGGACTAGTAAATGGTAATGGATCTCTAATACTAGTCCTCTTGATTTATATGGAGACTAGTGGGTCAAATTTTAAGATGAAAATTTATTACAAATTCTTCAAGAATGTCTTTATTTCTTGGCATCTTCTCCTTGCATCTCTTCTAATTTCTATCATCTACTTTTACATATATTTGAATAAGAAATTTGAGTTATATTCAAGGGGAGTAAGATGAAAAGAGAAATATAATAAAGTATAAGAGAAGGCAAGATGTGCGAGTCCATTTATCTAAAAATTATAAACATTCATTTCATAAAACTATGTCGACTCATCCATACCATTCACCCATGCTTCAATCACATTGATGCATGACATACTAATGAAACACATTTCATTCATAAAATAATTATAAATCTATTTTTTTTTATCATTTTATAAATTAATCAAAATTTTTCTAAATTTCAATTTTAAAACTTTTCAAGCCTTGAGCCACTTTAGGCCTATAGATTTTTGGGCCTCGAGTGCCCATGAGCTTCGATGCTCAAGCCCTTAGTTTGGCGCGCTTGTGTGTGCCCGCCCATGACTAGTGGCCCGGTGTGCCGGCCTAGCTAGTGGCCTCGCATGCTTAACCTACGGCTTGACACGTATGTGTCTAGCATGCTTATACCGGCTTGCGGACACTGGTAAGCCTCATGCACGAGCACTTTGGGTGATCGCCTCACATGCGACCCGGCACATAGTTCTTGGCCAACACCTCGTGTGTGGCCTAGCATGCTCACCTAGCTTGTCACACACCTAGCGTGCGGCCGGTCGGGCCTATTGCATGCCTAACGTATAACTTGCCGATGGGTTCTATTTTTTTTTATGTACGCGAGCGCCAACGTCCAACGTCAACCTTGTGTGTCCCACTAATTTTCACCCTAATTTTAGTTTTCAATAAATATAAAATACCAAAAATAGTAGACTTATAATCGGACTTGGTTAATTCATTTAGTTATTCATAATTAATATAACATAAAATCAAATATTCAACGGAGGCTCTAATACCAATTGAAGGATCATGCATCATATGATCATCATATGCTCGTTGAATCGGCTAATTATATATACATGAATTAAAGCAATGAATAGAGAATTATCTCTAATAGAGTAGATCTAAATTCTTTATTCCAACCTCTATTCATGATCCACGATGTCCAAGCAACCCCAAAGAAGCACTTAAAATTGATAGAGTGCTAGCTCCATCTTTTTTGATCTATATAGTGTTTCTTATAAAAATCTAATTTGGGCAAGTTTACAACCACCCAAAGAGAAGAGAGAGGAGGTGGCATGCTACGATTAGGAAGGAAACAATTTTTCTCCTCATTTTATCTTAGTAGTGTGTCCCTTTTATTTTCCAAATGTGTCAAATTTTCTCTCTCCTAAAAACTTCCCTTTATGTTGCACCTCTTCTCCTATTTATAGAGGGAGAGATGTCTTTCAAGGACTTTTGATTGTTGCTTTTTAATCCTTCAAGTATTACGAGTTATTTTACTTGTGGACTTTTGATCTTTATCATTATTATCCAATAAGGCTGATGTTTATCCCTAAAAGTTCATTCTTATCCAATAAGGTTGATTTTTATCCTCCCATTAAAATATCTTAAGGCTTTAATTAAACCTATTGGGCCAAAACCATTCCGGTTCAATTAATTATTTAGACTATCCTAATAAATAATCTTAGACAATTTTAGGCGGCCCACATTAGGAAGCAATTTTTTAAAATACCCTTTAACCTAAATTAGGAAACTCATTATCATTTTAGGTTATTTACTTCTAAATTTAGAACCAACTTCCAAAATAAGAAATTGATTTCTAAAATAGGAAACATTTCATTTTATGAAATTTCCATCTAAGGAGACTTTCCATGTTAGGAAACCTTTTATTTTTAGAAACCTTTTCCAAAATAAAAAACTTTTAGAATTGAAAAGCTTTATGAAATATATTTGCTTCTCCTTAATCATGTAAATGCGTAAACATATACGTGTGACTCCATAGGTCGCTAGATATGTTGGTAATGTGTCAAGAATAAAAGATTCCTTTTTTATCTTTAGATACGTAATTCAAGATTGGGCTTAGTAAAGCATCATGACTACCTAATTCTCTAGGAAGATTTTTTAATCCATTATTGTAATTCAAAAACATGGTTACTATACAATTCAATCCTCATGTCAACTTATTACAATGTGATCTCGATCTTAGTTATAAGTCTTTTTCGATTATGATCACATAAGTTTTCTTTGATTCTCAAATGTCTTAGCTCTTAGAGTCAATCAACTATGCTCTTAGATAACCATGATGACTTTAAGTATAAGGACCAGTTGTACCCATCTCATATGAGATTCCTATAGACTAAACCAAATGGATTCTCATGCGAGTCAAGTCTAGTAATATGTTCCGTAACATATCACCCAAGTGTTTGCTTTGGCATCACCATGCCAATAAGTGTGAGGTCTCCTACTACTATTATATAACATGAGCATAGTAGTCACAAGTCTATCCATATATAGTCAAAGTCAATTCTTGATAGTGTTACGACTTAAGACATTTAATGATATGATTTATATGCATTAGTGTTAGTTTCACATCTTTTGATCAATCATTATTGAAAATGCATATCATAAGGACTTCTATTTAATTTTACTGAATTAATAAATATGAAAGCATTAGAATTAATAGAAGGACTTCTTTATTATTATTAAAACAAATGATGCAATAATATAATAACTCAAGATCATTCAAACATGGTTGGATCTTGGGCATCTACACTAACAATTTATACCTTGGAAGTTGATGTGTGGGTGAGTTGCCACATTTGGTGATCAGTGCCAAGGATAAGGATGTGTTTTATGTTATGCAAGAACGTGATTTGGTGTTCTATATTATTTAAGGACAACCGTAAAGAAAATTCTCACACAAGGTTTTTTATTATTATTATTCATCAAAATTTTCCTCAAAATTATGCATAAGGTTTTTTAGATATTAGAGAAATAAGGTAACAAAAAATGTGGCATTCTCCCTTAATAGAAGGAGAGAATTTTGGCCAACATTAATCTCCTAACTAGAATAGGAAACTTCCATCTCCTTAGAGATTCAGACTTAATTTCCTTTCCTAAAAATTAACGACCTCTCTTAAGGGCCTAAATAAATATGGACCCTAGCAAATTAATCCCCTCAATGTTTATGGACTACTAAATAAATATGGATCTAGATAATTACAAAATCATATTCTCCTAGGCCTATTCAATAATGACTAGAAAAATAAATAAAACCTAAACCCAAGGAGGACAAATCAATTAGCCCAAATCTAAAAATAAGAAAGTAATTAAACCAAACCTAACATAGGAAAATACTAAAACTCATAAAAATTAAATGAAGTATAAAAATAATGATAGATTTTGACCTCCTCCTTCATTGAAGGTCTTGGCCTCAAGGATCCTCCATCTTCTTGGTCTCTCCACACTCTTGGCAAGCACACTCGTGTCATTTTATTGTATAAATTATCTAGTTGCTATCCTTGTTTCGAAAAAGAAAAGTTGAATTGTTGAATGAAGATTGTGTTCTTGAATGTGAACAATTCGGTCTAACCCTAAGTTTTGAGGGACATCGATGGTTTATGTGAATTACGTTAATTAGGTGTTAATTAGATGAATTGAGTATGTTAGGATGTATTGGAATGAAAAATTAAGGTTAATGACCTTAAGAGAAACTTTTGGCCATAATCATATAATTTAGATTCTTTGATTTGATTAGTGTAACTGAAGTAATTGATTTATCAAATGCTAAATTGATGAATAGATGTGAAAAATAGAGTTAAATTCATTAGCGAGATAATGTTCCTCTAATTGGTAGGTTATGGCCTAACCAAAAAATTAATGATCAGTGAATTGATTCAAGTACAATTGAGTTATTATTGTTTAAAGGAATGAAATGGTATGGAAAATAGGTGAATAAGTGATGAAAATGATCTTGCTACTCTCATTGGGATAATTTGGCCATGTTTCAAAATTAATGAGTTCTTGATGTTTGTATATTTAGTCATTAATTCATGCATCTTTTGATTGTTTGGAACATGTATGTAGTTGAATATGCGTTACATTTCATGTCAATGCTAAACATGCATGATTGAGTAAAAGGATGAATACTTAGTCTTTATATAGTTTTAATTTTTTTGATTAAGACCCTCTATTATTTTTCAGCTTCATTAAAACCTTCTACTCTTACAAGTTTGTTGATTGAGACCCTCAATTATAACTCTATTGAATATTTATCAGATTTGGCACGTTAAAATTAACAATAACTAATCATGAATTGACATGTGTTGTCATAGGTCCCAATCTAATAATATTTGTGTGAAATGAAAAAAAAATGTACATTTTTTTTATTATTAAACAAACATTTCGGTTTTAAAAATAAATGGGAAAAGACACATTGCCCCACCCTATTATCAATAACCAATTAAATCAAAAAAAGAAAAAAAGAAGCATTGTCATCCTCTCTCTCTCTCCCCCTCTCCTTCTCTCCTTATTTTCTTCCTCTTCTTCTTTCTCAATCGAAACCATTCTATAAGCTTGATGTTATTCCGCTTGTTAATGAGCCACCACTCATGGAAAACCTCATTAATCTTCTTCTTCTTGTATTTGGTCTCCTTCTCCTTATCAACTTCCTCAACCTCACTCTCTTCTTCCTTCTTAGGTTCATCATCCTCATTATCACCAATCTCTTTCTCAATCATTTTTTTTAGTCCACGAGATAGATAGGATAGTCGATAAACTCGAGTGCTGCTTCACAAGATCCTTAATCCTCCTCTCTTCCAAGTACTCAAGCTATAAAAAAATATTAACACAAAAACATCAAGCCGAAGCCCATATCAAATCCGACATAAAGAAGTGAGCAATAATAATATCTAAAAAAATTATTAATTTAATCAAGATAATTTATTTACCTAATCCTCCTTAAGGAAAAAGGTATTCTTAGTACCCGTATTAAGTTGCTCTCCATCAAAATCCCTTGTAATAGTGAAAGAAAACTAGCTTGTGACTCTTAGACATATTGCTCATCATCATTATGTTTAGTAGTCACAACAACCCTCTCTACCACAAGGTAAGCGAGAACAAAACCCAATACCAAATTGTCTAATCATACTCACATCGACCTTAGCTTGCAATGCCTCCATAAACTTCTTCATCTTCGATCTACTAATTGTTCCCAAATTATTCATCAAATTTACTTTTAAAATAAAAATCACAAACACAAAATAAGTATCATTTTAAGTCTCAAAACCCGAAATCTATATTAAGAAATAAACTTTTCACCGACCTAGGTAGCATGTTTTTAGAAAAGAATCTTGGATTTGATAGATACACTCGGAATCAAAATCATGAAACAAAATTTTCATCGACACAGGTAGAAATTTTTGAAAATGATTTTTTGGGTTTGAAAGATATATATTAAGAATTATAATCAAGAAACAAAATTTCATTGACCCATATTGCAATTTTTTGAAAAAGATTCTTGGGTTTGAAAGATAAACCAATCAAAATTAAAAAAATATATTTGTTTAATAGTAAATAAACTAAGGTAGTGTCATCTTTTTTTATTCATTTTTAAATACTAAATATTATATTAATAATAAGAATCTTTTTTAATTTTAGTTTTTTTTGGATGTATACTTGAAACAATTGGAGTCTACAATGCCATGTGTCCACATCCGATTGGTCTAGTTTTAACATGCCATATAGGTTGCATAGTTAATTAAGGGTCTCAATCAAGAAATTTATAAGAGTAGAGAGTTTCAATCAAACTAAAAAATTATAAAGGGTCTTGATAAAAAAAAATTCAAACTATACATGGACTAAATGTTGGGTAAACCCTTAATACATTTGCATATAATTATCATGGAAGAGGTTTTACATTCTTGATTTTGATAAAGGAAAAGGGAAGGTACCTAGTGCTTTTGTAAGTTTTCAAAAATGCATGATTTAAAAGAGGGTCGATTAATTAAACAATTGACAAGAAGTGTCCAAAGAGAAAAATTAATTTGAAAAGATACGAAAAAGATTTTTAAATTGCACTTTATGGATACATGCATGGATTACACTTACTAAGCATCTCCTACCTTTATTCTAGAGTTGTAGGTGACAAAAAAGCTACATAAGAATCATCATTGACGAAAGGCATACACTTGTTGTATAGTGTGCTTAGTAATTAATAGAGAGTGAGAGTTCTTTTCTTTCATTTTATAATGCGTTTTTTTTACCTAAATATTAGTGCTAGAGTTAGCACTTTTGGTGTGTTAAGGATGGACATTTTACCTTAATATTAATAGATATGTGTATGTTTAGTTTTGTCAATTTAATAGTATAATGGAATTAATTGGTCATTTCACTAATTAAATTGGTTTAAATAAATTAATAAACCAAGTGAGAAATTTAATTGATGGTAAAAGAAATTAATGATCTAATGAGTAAATTTATTTAATGGTAGCAATTCATTGACAAGGGTTAATGGCAATGAAATGGTAAGGGAATAATGAGGTAGTGATTAAAAGATTGAATTTAATTGAATGGGATTTAATGGGTAAGAACTAATTAGGGTTAATTGATGCTTTTTCAATTGATTGGAACCAAAGTTCCATAAGCCCAAATATTCTTAAAAAGGTCTAATACATAATTAAAAGTAGAATTAGACTTAATTGAAGTTTAATTGAATTAATTATTAGAATTTCTAACCTAAGGAATTTTTATTAAAATGAAAGTACTAATAAATTAAGTTATATGTGATTCTAATTGTTTAAGATGAATATTTTTCAATTGAATTGATTATATTATAAGTAAAGAGATTTTCAAAATGAAAAAGGTAGAAATTTATTTTACTAAATTAAAATGATTATTTTCATTTTGAATATTTTATTATTGATTAAATCTAAATTTCAAAGAATTATTTGAGAAAATTAAAGGCATTAAATTTATTTAAATGATTAAAATAGATTTTATGAATATGAGTTTGTGACCACAATTTGGAGTTTACTATATAACGTATAGCTATTATCATGTAATTAATTTATTTTCAAAAAATGTATATCGAGGTTTTAATTAAAGTTGGACATAATACACCTTAATTATCAAGCACCCTCTCCAAAAATTTGATAATTGAATTGTAAGGTTAAGAGAGGAGGCTTGTTGTTTTGCATTTATTATAATGAAAATGTAAAACAATTCTAATACTATTCTCGACCAATTTAGATCCGAGGTTAGTGATGTTACTATTGTGATGTTATGTCATGTATTTAATTATTGATTGAAAGTGTTAAATGTTGTCTTTACGTAAATCTTAGATATTCTAGGGTTTGGATTAGTGACTAAATGATGATTTTACATTATGATGTTGTTTAGTAAGCAATTAATTGATGATTGATCATTGCATTTATGATCTATATGTCTTTAATTATTGATTGATCATTGTATTAATGATGTGTATGTGTTTAATTGTTGATTGAGCTTGGGTAATGTGGTGTTCATGTAAGATGTGGAAATTCTATGGTTTTGGTTATGAGACTAATTATTGGTTTAACCTTAAATGATGAATATGCATGGTCATGGTGATTAGTATGTTCAAAATTGATGATTGTACATTTGGCCATATGTATAATTGATGATGGTTTAATTGTGTTGGATGACATTTGGAGGGATTTGGCTTTGACTTGTTGATTTAGTGATAATGTTATTGCTTGATGTAATTCAGCTATGACTTATTGAATGAATGGTTAAGGTGTTAGTGTTGGTGCCTAAGATCCAACCATGTTTGGATGGGCTTATGTTAATATGTTATTGAATCATTTATTTTAATAAATAATAAAGAAGTCATTCTATTAATTCTTATGTTTACATGTTGATAAATTTAATAGAATTAGATATAAGTCATTATGATATGCATTTGCAATAGTGATTAATCAAAAGATATGAGACAAACACTAATGCACATAAATGATATCATTAAATGTCCCAAGTTGTAACATCATCAAGAATGAACATTGATATTATACACTAGACTTGTGAGTGCTATGCTCATGCTACATGATAGCGAGTAGAAGATCTCATACCTATTGACATGGTGATGCCAAAGCAAACATTTAGGTGATTTATGTTAGAGAACATATCACTAGATTTGACTTGTCGTGGGAACCCATTTGGTTTTAGTCTATAGGAATCTCATATGAGATGAGTACAATGGTCCTTAGACTTAAAGTAATCACGATTATCACATTAGAGAACTTATACACTTTGACACTCATTTCGATGGATCCATTAATGGGTTGCACATGGGTGATTCATTGGGTGCACTAGGAATCCAATGGAGATAGGTGTATGGCTAAGAGAGGACATGTCATTCCTTGTATGTTAAAGGAGTTATCATATTGCACTTCGATAAATTTCTACTCAAGAAATATGTGGCCAAAGTAGGAGTACATCAATAAAGCATAGTTGGTTTACTCTAACGACTAAGACATTTGGGAATCAAAGAAAACTTGTGTGATCATAATCAAACAAGACTAATAACCAAGTTTGAGATCACACTATGATAAGTTGACATAAGGACTAAATTGTATGGTAACCATGCTCGTGAAAGATAATAATGGATTAACTAATCCTCCAACGGAATTAGATAGTCATGATGCCTTGCTAGAGGTCAATCTTGATTTATGTATCAAGAGATCGAGGAGCCGTTTATTCTTGATACATTGCCAACATATCTAGAATTCTATTAAGTCACACGCATAAGTTCAAGTATTCACATTACAAATGAGAAGCAAAGATATTGGAAAGAGATTCCAAAATGGAAAGTTTCCTAATATGTAAAGTCTCTTAAAATGCAAAGTTTCCTATTTATAAATCGATTTTCTAATTTGGATGTTAGTTTCAAATTTGGAAATAATGAACCTAAAAGGAAAAGAGTTTTCTAATTTAGGTTAAAGGGTCTCTTAAGAAATTATTTCCTAATATGGACACTCGCCAAAATAATTTAAGAATATATATTTGGATAGTCTAAATAAATTAATTAAGTTAAAATAGCTTTAGCCCATTAGGTTTAATTAAAAGCCTTAAGATAATTTTGGTAGAAGGATAAACATCAACCTTATTGGATAAGAATGAATGTTTTAAAGATAAATATTAACCTTATTAGATAAGGTTGAATGTTTTAAAGATAATAATCAAGTATTCCATATATAAAATAACTCATCATCCTTGTAGGATAAGGAAGCAACAACCTAGAGTCCTTTATGAACTCATGGTCACCCCTCTCCTTATCCTTAGAGGACAAGAAAACTCTCCCCTATAAATAAGAGGAGATATGCGAGCATAAAAACATGATGACCTAAAAAAGAGTATTTTTGGCTAATTAAAAAATATAAGAAAAAAATTTGGCCAACCCCTAAAATAATCAAGGGCACACGGCCAAGAGAAAAAAAGAGAGAAATTAGTTTTCTCCTAAAACCCTAGCAAGAAATACTCTTACCTTCTCCTTTAAGGTTGTCGCAAAGTTTCCTAGGATAGATTTCAAAAGGAAATACTTGATCGGAAAAGGTGAAGCTAGCACCTCATCAATTTTGAATGCTTTTTTATGGATATTTGGATCTGTGTGAATCATCAATAGAGGCTAGACACTTAGATGACTAATCAAAGAAAAGGAATTTAGATCTGTGTTGTAAGGGGTAATCCTTTACGTTTAGCTTAT